AAATTAAAAAATAATAAAGATCCCATTGGTTGGGCTTCCATAGGAGACAGGGTGGAGTTAATACTTCCATTTGGCTCTCCTTCTAATCCATCTTCCCTTCCCTCTATTTTCCAGGGAATGGTTCCCTTCATATTTGTTGGCACCCGAGAGAATATCAGCAATGCTCAGGCTCTGCTGGAATATCACCTTTCCTACCTGCAGGTACCCAGTCTAGGAACCTGGGAGAGGAAAGATCTGGGTCTAGCAAGGGACGAAGACTGCTGGTGGATCAAGTTAGGAGTTGTGCCCAATTTGTGTCTCTGAGTAGAATAGAAACCACTGGGAATTTGGGGCTGTGGGGTTGGATCCTAGAATTTTTTTAACTAATGTCTTCTTACATTCCTGAGAATTTACATATGTAGGGATGGTCAGGCAGAGAAGCATGAAAGGAGACTGTTCATTGATCTTATACTTACTCCTCCATCCATATCTTTCTCCTTCTTTTACCCAACCAGGAGGTGGAGCAGCTTCGCTTGGAGAGGCTGCAAATTGATGAACAGCTTCGTCAGATTGGGCTGGGCTTTCGCCCTCCTGGGAGTGGGCGAGGCAGCGGTGGCAGTGACAAGGCTGGATATACCACAGATGAGAGCTCCTCCTCTCTGCACACCACACGAACCTATGGGGGCAGCTATGGGGGCCGGGGCCGGGGCCGGAGGACAGGTGGTCCTGCCTACGGTAAGACAGCTGCAGGAGAGGGAGGCAAACTGGTGGGGCTTGTGAGGAGAGGCAGAGGTCTGGGTGGAAGCTGGAGGAGTGATGGAATGACAATTAGCTGAGGGACTTGTGAGTGAGAGGGAGAAGTCTTCCAGTTTGGGGGGGTGATGTATTCTGGGGTGGTGAGGAGTGACCTGATTGAACACTTGTGTTCTTTAGGCCCCAGCTCAGACCCATCTACAGCTTCTGAGACCGAGTCTGAGAAGAGAGAAGAGCCTATCCGAGCTGGGCCAGGAGATCGGGATCCCCCAACCCGGGGGGAAGAAAGCCGGAGGCGGCCAGTTGGGGGCCGGGGTAGGGGACCTCCACCTGCCCCCCGGCCTACCTCGAGATACAACTCTTCATCTATTAGCTCAGGTACCAGTACCAGGCAGCTGGGCTCATGAATGTAGGCCAAAGGGAAAGTTGGTGGAAAGTTGGATTCCCAATTCTTCCTCTTCCTCTAACCAGTGCTGAAAGATCCAGACAGTAATCCCTACAGCCTACTGGACACATCTGAACCAGAGCCTCCAATTGATTCAGAGCCTGGGGAACCACCCCCAGCAAGTGCCAGGCGCCGTCGCTCCCGCCGCCGCCGCACTGATGAAGACAGGACTATCATGGATGGAGGCCTGGAATCTGATGGGCTTAGCACGACAGAAAATGGCCTGGGTAAGGGGTGTCTAAAAACTAGAGCTGGGCAAGAACTGAGGGGTGGGATATTGGATGCGTAACTCTGAATTTTTCCTGTCTCACAGAAGATGAGTCTAGACCCCAGCGTCGGAATCGGAGCCGCCGTCGCCGTAACCGCGGTAACCGTACTGATGGTTCTGTCAGTGGAGACCGTCAGCCAGGTCAGCTAACACTGGGTGCCAGTGTCCTTTCTTAGAGCTGAGAGAATGTGATGCCTCCAACCCTATGAAAACCAGGGATTGGGGTTCATTGGGTATCTAGGGGTTGTATACCTGGGTTCCTTCTGAAACTCTTGGTCCTCTGTCCTCCACAGTGACTGTGGCGGACTATATCTCCCGAGCAGAGTCTCAGAGCCGCCAGCGGCCAACCCTGGAACGCACTAAGCCCTCAGAGGACTCTCTTTCAGGACAGAAGGTAGGCAGGCAAGATGTAATTTACTCCTTCCCCCTTTTTTGTTCTTTAAGGGCAAGAGATACAAAATTCCCAAAGAAACCTCTTGCTAAATTGCAGCGAAGGCTGTGTCTGATGGAGTTTAGACTACATTTAGAAGAGTGGAAAATTTGAAAGAAGAGAGGAAAGTTTGATTCATATTTTATGGGCCCAGTGAGAATGACTAGAGTCAGATCAGGGATCAATCCCTGGGTCACCACATGCCAGGAGTGCTTGGATGGTAGGGAATGTCAGTACCTGAATTTCTACTGACCACTTCTTTCTTTCCCACTTTCCCTTCAGGGTGACTCTGTCAGCAAGCTTCCTAAGGGCCCCTCAGAGAATGGGGAGATCTCCATCTCCCTGGAGTTGGGTAGTTTGGTGAATGGGGTTTCATAAAACCTCCAGCCCGCATCCCTCCCTTCTCCATATCGCTTGCTGCCCAACACCATGGCCCTCACAGGCCCGACTGACCTGCGCTGGAGCTGCTCTTATCTAGGGGGGAGGGGGGTGGCACAGAAGCTTGGGTCCCCCCCCAACCTCCAGGAGCTAGTGGAGGGGTGTGTAACAGGGTCATACCCACCTCCCTCTTGTCCACCCTACCCCCAGGGTGAGGGGAGCCTCTCCTTCCCCATCAGACTGGATGTGCCTTTATCCTCTTAATGCCCCAATCTCTCTGAACACCCCCATTCTCCGCCTGTTGGTGCGGGGTGCTCCTTGACCCACCCAGATTTGACAGTTCAGGGGCTTCCCCTGCTATCCCTTCTCCCATCCTGTACCCCTGATTTCTGGGGCCTCATCACTGTGGAAGACGGGGATAGTAAGGGTGTAAGTGGGTGGGAGGCATGGGGAAGGTTTTGGAGTAGAACCAGGGGTGTGTATGAAGGGGGTAACAAGGTCCCCCAGGGGAAGGGGGACCAACCTTATCTGGTGGATGAGAAGGCGTATTTATTTTTCACTGTACAGTATTTAAAAAGAGAATTAAAAAATCCAAATGGCTTTCTGGTTCTTGTGTCTTCCTTGTGTCCAGTTTGGTTCAGCTGTTATTCCTAAGACCTGTCCTGGCCATTTTGTTGTCTCCACACTTGGCTCTAACAGTGTTCCATAGATGGTCTACTTTGGGAATTCTGGACAATCTTAAATTCCCCAGGTCCAGGCACCCTCCTGGTTGAGGAGAATGGCTGTGTCTTGCTGCTTCTCTCCTCCCCCAGGTTTGCTGGTGCAGGGAACTGGGCCACTCCTATACCCTGAGTCACACAGCTGGCTAGGTAGGGCTGCTTCAAGCTGGAGCTGTTTCTGCTAAGAGCCAAGGCCGGCTGCTTAATCGGATTACCTGAAGCCTGGGGCTTGGGTTGGGCCTTGGGTAGAATGGGGGGCCCTAGATGTCCAGCCCTCATTCCTGCTGGTTCTCTGTTCTGGATTCAAGTCTTTATTCAGCATCCGCATCACTGATCTCTCAGCCCCAGGGGAGTTGTCCTGGGGTTCCTGGCTCCCTGCCTCCAAACTCTGTGAAGTTTGAAGATAAAACGTGTGGTGGAGAAACCTTTTGTTTGGGGGCCAGAGTTGGGAGGGTTTAAGTTTTCTCACCTGGAGTAGTGTTGAATCACACCACCCAAGCACCTGCTGGGATGACTCAGGCAACAAAAATGGCCTGCCTCCCTCTAACTGCTCGACTTCCTTGCCCCAGGGGCAAGTTGGGTTTTGAGGGGCACTGGGCACAAGAAAAGGGTTGGTTGGGGTGGGCATGGAGTATTCCCAAATTCTTCCTAGCACAACTGACCCTGAGGGCTTTTTGATCCGGTCGTTGATCCCATTGTGTAAAGGAATTGACTTTAAATTGCCAAAGCTTAAGAAGGGAGGGGACGACGTGCAGAGCTACTAGGGCTGGGAGGCCTGACATCTGGGTCTTGGGTGGGGAGGGGGCGTGGTACCCTGAAGGCTGTTGGGGGCTGGGAAGAACAGGATACCTGGGTCTGCCTAAGGGGGACGTTGGCGCTCTTGAGGAGGCGTGGTCTGCTGGGAGGGCGTGGGGGAAGAGTCAGTTAAAAGCCGTTCCGGGCCTGGCTCACTTGCCAGCCACAGACGCCGAGGGCAGGTGAGAGTACTGTGGTACCTGGGCTGTGTTGCACGGCAGCTACCATGCTCTAGAGACTAAGCGGGAAGTTTACCGCCTCCACCGGAGACCAGCGAGCCACAGGTAGGAGGAGCGGGACTGGGTCTGGCACTCACCGCAACGAGGAAAGGAGAAAGCAACCTGTCCTGTACCGGTTACCACACAGCTGGTTTTGCACTCCACTTATACAGCGTGCAGGATTGGCTGGAAGCAGGGGCTCCAGAATAAAGACTTTGAACTTGGGGACGATATATACTTTTTAAGGACACGAGTTTCTCTGGAACGACTCCATACTAGGAAGACACATTTTAAGAATACCGGGTTTGGGGATCAACGTTTCGCTTTGGAAGGCGTGTAGGTGCCCCTTTAGGGCTTCCCTCCATCCCCATGGCGCTACCCGGCCCCTCACAAGACCAGGCTTGGAGCCTGGAACCTCCCGCTCCCACGGCCCCTGCCTCCTCATCCTCGAGTTCCCAGGAGCGGGAGGACGCTGAGAGCCCGGTGGTCTCCGGGGGCCTTCCCTTGGAGAAGGTGAAGCGACCCATGAACGCGTTCATGGTGTGGAGCTCTGCTCAGCGCCGCCAGATGGCGCAGCAAAACCCAAAGATGCACAACTCGGAGATCTCCAAGCGCCTGGGCGCGCAGTGGAAGCTGCTTGGCGAGGACGAGAAGCGGCCCTTCGTGGAGGAGGCCAAGAGGCTGCGGGCCAGGCACCTGCGCGACTACCCCGATTACAAGTACCGGCCACGGCGCAAGACCAAAAACGCAGGCGCCGGGCTGCCCCACTTCGGCCAGGGAAGCGGCGGTGTGGCTGGCAGCGGGCCGGTCTGGGGAACCGGGTACGCGACCACCCAGGGGAGCAGAGGCTTTGGGTACCAACCCCCCAACTATTCGACATCGTACTTGCCTGGTGGTTACAGGTAAGTGTCTGGGAGCAAGCGGTGAGGAAGGAGAAGCTGTGTCCCACCTCCTTGGAGCCTAGGTGGGGCAGATACCAGAGGGCCTGGCTGACTAAGGGCTTGAACCCACCAAAGCAGAGGCCACTCCCTGGGGGGTATGGGGGCTGCCATTAAGATTTGGGCAGCACCACTACCTGCACTCCCAGCTCCTTTGGGAGGGTTCCGGTGGCCCAGGCTTTTCCTGGAGGGCATTCCCATCTCAGCCTGGCAGTGGTGGCCCTGCAGGGGCAGACCACAGCCCCCTAGATGTTGACCGTGTTTGTTACCTACCTGGATTTCCAATTCCCCCCTACTTCTGGCCCTGGTGTGACCCTGCTTCCTCTCTCAGCCCCTAGGGCAAGGAGAGGCTTAGCCCAACTCTGATCCTTTCTGGCCTGCTGCCCCAAAAGAAGAAAACAGGCGCACAGCACGCAAGCTCACTGGTGAGCCTGCCCCGACAAGGCTAGCCTGCTCTCTAAGCCAGCCTTGGGTCTGGTTCCGGACCTACAGTACCTAGTGGGGCCCAGATAGCTGGGGATGGGTAGGTTCTACTTGTCTGCCCAGAACTGGTCAACCTGCTCTCACATACTTGTTGGGGACCCTGCCTGGCACCATCAACCTAGGGAAGTGCCCTCTAACCCCAGTGTTTCTCTCTTTGCAGCTCTTCCCACTCTAAACCAGAGGCCTCAACGTGCTCCCTCCATCAGAGTAACACTAGGCTCCAGGGAGAGCTGCTTCCCCCCTACAACCCCTACCTATCCCCAGGCTCTCCCACTCCCTACAACCATCCCCTCTCAGGGGCCCCCATGCCCCTAGCCCACCTCTAACAATCATAGGTAATGGACCTCCTGGGAAGGGCTCCAACCTCTTTTTCTTCCAGAACCACCCCCTACTCCCAAACTGCAAACCCTTCTTTTGCACTGTTGGACCACAGTTTTAGAGGAGGCCTGCAGACCCTGCCCCAAGTTAGGGGAAGCAACACAACTTTTTGTATTTTTTTTGTAGGACAAACACTGTTTTGTACAATTAATCCATGTCTCCGAGTCTTTATTGCCCCATCTGTTCCCTCTACACTACAGCAGGAACCAGCACTGTCTCCACTCCCTTCCGCCTGGACCTGCCAGAGCAGGAACCTCCTCACCCCACCCTGGGGCCCTGACTGAGTCATTCTCCATCCCCCACCACCACCCCCGTCCCCCACCCAGCACTGGGGTCCAGGCAACAGTCCCAGTCAGCCTGGGGGAAGGAGGCAGCCATAAGCCCCTAGTGCTCTGTCCCCTTAAGGCCAAAAGGGAAGTGAGGAGCTGGGAGGGCAGGGCAAGACTTTGGCCCAGAATAGTTAAGCAGCTAGAAACTGCTAGAGGAAGACTCTCGGCAAATGGTTACTTAATAGTGTATACACAGGACAGTGCACAATAAATATCAAATGACAGCCTGAAAATCTCTAATTCCTTTCTAAGGATTAGGTCTACCAACCATGCCTTTCCACAGAAACACAAACCCTGGCTCAAGAAGCTGCATCTGCAGAGGAATGGAGAATGATTAAAAGTTATACCAGCAGGCTGGTTCAGAAGGACCCTGAGGTTAGGTGGACGAATAGAAACATGGAATGGACTCCAGTAGGCAGCTCAGGCCTACTACTCCTTTTTCTTCTTGTGAGGAGCCTTTGCGTTCCAGTAGAAGAGAAGCTGGGCAGCAATGAGGCCGTTACAGAGGGAAGAGACCACAAAGGTTCCAGCCATGAGGGGATCTCCAGTTTCCTGGATGTGAGAAATAGAGCTAGGGTCACTCTTCAGCAGAACCCCCCCAAAAAGGTTCCAGAGACCAGGAAGCTTTTAAGTTCTCAGGTGGGAGAGGTAAGATGTCTTAGTGCCCCCTACAGGGGACAAGGTGAACTCACCTGAATGGAGGTGAAGATTCGGGCAAGGGAGCCCCCAAAGAGCAAAAAGACTGTGATGGCTGACAGCTGGCCTGTGTGCCCATTGCGGTAGTTGGTGGCTGCCTGGAGCAGCTAGAACAGGAGTTGAGACCCTTCGTTCTATCATCTGAATTCTTCCCATGTTCCCATCAGATCCCCCCCCCACCCATTTTTCTCAGTCTAATATTCCCACACAGAGCTCTCACTCAGTCCCCCCTCCGATCATTTTTTCCCTTGCTCCCAGTACCCACCTTCCCCACCACCACAGAAGGCATATTGGAGGCCTGGAGTAGGGTGATTACAGCCAGGGGTGTCAGTGGTGAAAGCAGCACCAGCAGGACCAGGGCATAACCTGCTAGGAAAGCCACACCTAGAGGTCAGGGAGACAAGGAGTACTCATCAACCTCTGGAGTACAATGGCTTCCCCAGGCCTGAGTTCCCAGCCAGCAAGGCTCCTTGAGAGCCACAGCCTGCTCTTGGGTAAATCCCCAGCACCTTTCACAGTTTGTCCTCTGTAATGCAGGACCAGGAAGCAGATGGTGATTGTCTGGAGCATCAGGAATAGAGCTTCACCCCAAGAGCTGCAGAGTCAAGAGTTGGGAGGAAGAAAGGCGGGCCTGGAAAGAGGCAGGAAGAGCCTCCATAGCCCATCCATCTGGGGACACAATTATCTGATTACTCCCTGTCCTCCACAGCCCTACTGGTTCCTACCTCCTACCTCCCAGCACCACCACCTCCACCTGTGATGGACTCACTTTAGATCCTGCGCATTTGTGGGATGCTCACCTCTCATCATCTCCATAGGTGATGACTAGATTTCCAAAAGGGCTTAAGCTTTTCCTTCCCTTTTACCTCCCTCACCCTAACCCCACTAGAGTTATGTGCATTTACCTTGGGGATAAAAGGCAAACTCCTCACCTGAAGGGGAAGTTGTTAACAATGCTGTAGACCATAGTCCCAGTCAATGCCACTAGTTCCAGCATTACTGACTGGAGGCTCAGCCCTTCAGCACTCTTGGCTCCAAGGATTTTAAACACCTGGGGCATTTTTACTGGAGAAAGGATGAGAAAGGCATGATGAGCCAGTATCCTTTGGGAGCACAACACAACAGCTACTAGGAAGCATGTTAACCCCATTTCTGGTTAAGGGACCCATCCAGTTTTTACGGCATTTTAGTACTCCATCCCCATCACAACCGCAAGAAAGGAAGATTAAATACATACCCAGAAGTGACCCAGCTACAATGCCCAGCCCCAGGCCTTTGCTGAGGAGAATCTTCAGGCAGGGGACTGAGAAGAAAAAAAGGGTTAAGCAGAGAGACCTGGAACCCAGGCTAGAGCTTTCAGGAGACAGTACAGGCCTACAGGCTTAAAGCACTCCTGTGGGCTGCCGCAGCTCCTTATGACATACCCACACAAGGAAGCCTTGGGTTGTCTGGAGGAAGGTGAAAACAGTCTGGTCCTTACTGCTCCAAATCATCACATTCAGATGAGGTGACTTTCCAAGACAGCTTTTACCATTCCTTCCCTCCAACCTAATTTTCCATTCCTTGAAGATTACATCTAAACTCCTTGGTCTCACCTGGCCTGAGTGGCTCAGTTGGTTGAGTGCTGTCCCAAGCACCCTGAAGGGTTGCCAATTCGATTCCCAGTCGGCACATACGTGGGTTGCGGGTTTGATCCTCAGTCAGGGAGCATATGGGAGGCAATATCAATGTTTCTCCCATCTGTTTCTCTCTCCCTTCCTCTCTCTAAGTATGTCCTCCAGTGAGAACTAAAAAAATAAACTCCTCGGTCTTCCTTCAAAGACTCTCCACTGCTTCCCTGTATAAAGCTAAACAATGCCCAAGGGTACTCCAAGAGTACTCTGATCCTTTATTCCCCTGCTCTGAGCAACTAGGCGATCCACTTCATGGCTTTTCTTTTCAAGAACAGGTCTCCTCTTTACCATTCATTCCTGAACCCGTTGTCCCTGGCCCTACCCTTCCAGGGCTTACTTTTATGCTGTGGCCACCCACATTTTCTCTAGCCTTTAAGTCTTCGCCTCAAGGAGCTTGGCCCAGTGGGAGTCAGATTCTCACGGGTCATGAATTCGGCTAAAACAGAGTGGGGTACCTTGAACTGAGGGGCAAACTGGGAAAGCTTCCCAAAGGGTCTGAGGTATGAGATGGACCTTGCTGCGGAGTTGCTTCGTAAAAAGTGGAAGGAAGCCAAGTTATTTCAAAATTAGATCACGCACAAACGTGGAGGCTGAGAGGAAAGCCATCAGGATGGCAGAAATCTTTGGGGGTGCCGCTGAAGGCCTGGATTTGTAAGAGGCCTGCAATCAAGTTTGACCTCGCTGCTGAAGTATAGCGATCTATTAAAGGTTGGAACTACTTGTTTGTATTTTAACTTTGTTTTACAAAATTTGAGTCTTCTGGCCTTTTGTCGTTTTTGAAGCATAAACTACACAGAGAATTACTTCCATCCTACGACACACACATACCCCAGCCCCAAAATGGCGTCCTCTCTCTAAGGAGACCGAAACACTTCCGCCCCTCTCATAAGTAATTTCCGTCCAGCACGGCGTGCAGTAGTCACCGCAGTGGCTTAGTCCGCAGTCACGCCCGATTTATGGTCCGAGGAAGCTCCAGCAGAACTTTGCATTCCGAATAAACTCACCATGAAGCAAATCCCACTGGAGGAAAATTTGGTCGTAGCATTTCTCAGGTAAAAGAATCGGCACCAGTAGCCGTTTGAGCAGCCCGTCAGCTTCGGACGCCATACTGTAAAGATAGCTTCCGCCAGTTTCTTCAGGCCGTCATTGACCTACGGTGCGCATGCGCACTCGGGAACTCCGCCTTCTGCCTTCCCGCGACTTGCTGGACCGCCCCCGTCCCCCCACCCGCTTCTCCGCTCTTTCTGACGCCATCATACCTTTAGTAGCGTAAAATAGGTCTTGTCCAGAGACCCTGTTTTGGGTTCACTCTCCCTGTTGTTTTAATTTTAAAGCCTGCCAAAGCTGTGCGCCTGCGCACTTGTTTTGAGTCTTTGTTTACGCTTCCAGTTTGGAAGCAGGATTTATCTTCCTGCTTTTCTCCGCTTCTGCTCGGCGCCATCTTGTTTTCTCCCTGCTGACTTTACATTGTTCAAAGTTGAGGAGCGTGAGTCTCCAAAATGGCGTTGGACGGGGCCGCTGTACCTAACTCTAGTTCTCGCGGAGTTTTCAGAGGGAATGGCACTGGCAGGAGCAGGACAGCCTGCAGGAAGCAGCCTCCAGGGCCATGCTTCTCTCCTCTGGTTCACCCAAGCCTTGGCGAATGGGTGCGCCAGCAACTGCTGGACCGGGACAGTGAAGCAGAAAAGGAGGAGGTGGGAAACTCGAACCAGTTTCAGGGAGGGGCAGCCCCCC